TTTCACACAAAATTTGATACAGGTCCTTTGATCAATTTTTTTGAATAGGTAAAAATCGAAGACGATCCAAAACAGGTGCAAGCAAAGCAGCTGTCAACGATTAAATGAACATTCAAAATGGCCGAGCTTGTCGGAATAAGTGAGAGACATGAGTACCAACATAATGCCACAAAAAATTCGAAATTCGAATATACGTAACCCGCGAAAATTAAAAATTCGCGATACTTTTTGAACACACCTCGTATGTGTACATATTTCATTGTGTACACTGATTCAAAACTTAAAATTTATGTTTAATTTAAAAACTTTGGAAAGCAGAGTTGAATATGGTAACTTCCAGCTATTAATATTAACAGTACGTCGCCTTTATGGGGCGAACTATGCCTATCCTATTGGCAATCATTTTAACTCGTTTGCTTGTTTTTTAAGAGCGGGCGTGTATATTGTTTTTTTGCATTTTCTTTCCTTATAGCAAGAGCCATACGGTTGAGTACGCTACATGGTCCGTGGATCATGCTTTTAATGATGGTGACATATACTCGTATGTAAATCTTTATTTTCACTGCGTTCGTGCAACTCTGCAGAAACAACTTCGCCATTTTGGCTGGGCGCAATTTAACATTAGAGAGACTAATAAATAGATATGTGGCGGTTAGATTTAATTTAAATTTATTTTGCAATTTTAATTCATTTCATTTTCAATTTTAAAATTCGCGATAATATAGAAAAGCCACAATAAAACTAATCGAGATAGACATAGTCTCGTATCCATAGAGACGATCACGATTATGAAACGTTTTTAAATCCGTGCAAGCTGCACTTGAGTAAAAATTGAGATATCTTTATGAAACTTCATATCCGCCTTCCCAGAAAAGTAAAATGAACTTCGTAGACGATCGTATTAAGAGCACTATATTTCGACATTAACCGAAAACGTATAACAGAAATAAATTAAAATATGTAACAGTAAATTGGCAAAACGGATCGCAGGAGCAAAGGGCACATGTGGACGAAAACTTTAGAAAAGGTGAGCGTGGCCTTTTATCTGGTTTAATGTAGATATCTCCTTAATTACTGAAGCTATAGTAACCAAATTTATTCAAGACAAATCCCCTTAGCACCCCTACCGACACTCTAAAAATGGATGAGACCGGATGATAAGTCCGCTCACTGGCCATATAACGTTTAGAAACTGTTACAAGTGCGATAAATCAATAACTAAATATGCCAGATCATACAATTTTACATCCGAAATGATTTGAKAGGGTTTTAGAGGAGCTGGGTAAAAATTGATCGATGGGCATAGCACCGCTTTAGATTAAATCACATATCCCGAAACTTGGCCTACCAATTTCAACAAAATTGTGTAAGTGACATAAAAATATTATTGACACAAAATATTTCCTGAGCCCCCATACACCCAATATAAAGATTTTCGAACTTCCGTGTAACTTTATACCGAATATATCCGTCAATATTTGAGTTATCTCGATACTAATGGGAGAGCGTGTTCACAACAATATATATTTGTATGTAATGGCATACCCCAAGGATCTCCCCTTTCCACAACACTATTTATTATTGCCTTTAACCAATTAAACAACTTAATAACCTCATGACGATGTGTAGACCATATCATCTACGCAGACGATGTTTTAATTTTTTCGGCTTTAAAAAACTTAAACSAAGTAAAAATAATTTTTAGCAACATCCTAACTGAAATAGCAGAATGGGCTAAAACGTCAGGAACAAAGGTTTCTGCAAGCAAAAGCGCAACATTTCACGTTTGCAGAAAAAGAAAATGCACCTTCCCTAACCTATCCTTCGAAAACACACAAATTCTTCACACTACAACTTTAAGAATATTTGGCTTAATTTTTGATAAAAAACTAACATTTAGGAACATTGTAAATATCTTAGATTAAGTTTACTTAATAGACTAAACATTATAAAATTTCTCTCTTCAAAACACTGTCATATCC